GTTATGATAAAGAAATAAGTAAAGACTATGAATGGACGCAAAAGCCGTAAAGCGGGCAATAATATTAATAAAAAATTAAAATAAGGTAATCAGAATATAATAATTATTTAAGAAGAGATAAGATGAGAAAAGAGGAAATGAGATTAGATTAGTTATGCTAATATGAAATAAGATGAGATTATATGCGATTTCTTGATCTGATTTAAGATTATTTTAAATGTTAATTTCGCATGGTCTTTCTGTTTTACTATTGAAATCTCCTGAAATCTTAAACTTAGAAATAATAGTGCGTCCCTTGATTATATTCTTTACATTTAAACTCCTCTAAACCTTACTTTTTTTCAACCCTTGATATCTTGTTTCTACTTTTGGTGCTTTCCTTTAAACATATATGCTTCAATCTTTACTTGATGATTCCATATGAAAGCCTTGATTTTTGTCGATCACGTGAATTTGGTTGTGTTGCATGCTTGAGGGAGCAAAATTTCTAAATTATGCACACGATTTTTTTACCTTTTTATGCTATTACACGCATGTTCTTTAATCTTCCATTTTTATTTTCTTCAAACTGTGTTCCACTTTTTACACGACAACCTATGTCACTCCAGTGAGCATACTTGTCTATTTATTTCATACTTATTTATTTTTCATATATTTAGACTTCCCTTTTGAACTCATTTTTTTGTCTCATTATCACTTGTTCAATTAATTTATTACCTTTTTCTTCCATTGATAAGAATAGCTGAAGATTATTTATCTATATCCAGTCTGTCCTAGGCCAAAGCCTGATAGCTTAGATTTATTTTTAAAAGTCTATCATTTGGACGTTCTTTAAATCTCCTTTTTTATCATCCATGCTTAATTGAATTTAGAGTTGATATATTTGCCTAAACAGATTAACAGAAACTAAAGCCTTGTATAGCTTATCTTTCAATCGTATACACCAACTAAGATTAAAACTCTTACTTTTGACTGTATTGTTGATTTCGAGACGCCTTTATTTGTTTCCCCGAATTTTAGTCGTAAGTTTGGTATTTCTTCGAGTTCGTGTTCATATGTCCAGACACATGCAATCTCGTAAATGCACATCCTGAGGTTCTATTTTAATACATCCTCACCCATTAATCTTTACATTTATACTCCCTAATTCTTGTATCACTACATTTACGTACGTAACCCTAAATATTGCTGCGCGAATTCACGTCTTCACACTCGAACGTATTAACCAACCCGCGCACATCTATTCATACATGGGACGAATTTCAAAAGGCAGACAGTTTGGAATGTTCCATGTCGCCCTGCCCCACAACCTCAGTCCGACCGAGTCTGCGAAAGGGATTCGCCAATTGCCTGGCCTATATTTTTGGTTGTCCCCATGAGTCCTGCTGTCTAGCTGGACCACCTGAGCCAAGCGAATTCGACTTTTCAAAGAAGCCTGAAACTGTCTGCATGAAATCTCAGGATGGATGCGAAAATATGCAGGCTAGAGTGCTTCTTCCGAGAGCTGGTAAACACTGCGTGGCAGGTGTATCTCAAACAGAAATGGCTAGCCAGGATGATCTGAACTCGTCTGCTCGTGTCTCCGTGGTGCATTTCCTCTTGAAAAGATGGCAGTCATCTGCTGCGTATGCAATGTAAGCAGATTACCATAAAGTCTTGGGAGGTATTGACGTATTTTACCTATAATGGACATTGGAATTTCTGGAATATGCATGACATTTCGGGTTATCGACTCTAAAAATTTGACTTTTAGCAAGAAGCATCACATCGTAAACTATTTCTATTCTAGTCATCCTTGATAATATCGGTAATTTTTTAATGAGGCCTTACTCACTCTAAGTTGCTTAGTGTGATTTAATGACCGAAAGTTGCGTTCTTCCCCACAATGAGATAAATACGCCTCAGGATGGCACTAAATTTCACCTAGATTTGCCCTTTAGAAGCCAATCTCAGCCAAGGAGACTGTGGTTTCGAACTCGCCTAGGTCTCGTCAGCACCCCCAACAGAATTCTATACCGGTTTGTGAATCTATTGGCGACACAGCCATGGGTACCAGAGGGTCACAGGGAAAATGTGACATTCAAGGTAAGTAAGTCCTCAGATTACCGTAAGCCACCTAGGTTGACTATGAAAAACTGGGTTTTGAAGAATTCCTCAATAAATAGTAGGAATAAGTGTAGGAAATTGAGCAGGAACTATTTGTAGCCGTTAGCTAAACCTAATGACATACAACAAGAAGAACCGCTGCTTGAACAGCTTCGAGTCTGATTTTGACCCTCAACTTTCACGTTACTTGGAGCTTGCATACACACAATGTGCAATACCATGTA